ATTACACTAGAAATAAATGTAATTACGGGAAGTGTCTTTGATGTTATCTATTGCTTTGTACAAAATACAAAACTTCGATAATGTTGTGTTTGATTTGGTTAGTGTTTGAATTAATTAAACCGTGGACAACTCAAACCAATGTATTATTCGTATAAATCCTCACGTTCTCGAAAACAGGTTAATATTATTATAATTAAAAAAGATGTTAATCAAGAAGCAACGCGATAATACAGATTTATAATAGAAAACAATACACGCGAAACGAAGAAAGAAATCAAATTACAATTTATGAAATTATAATTTTTTTTATAAATTTTCTGCACATAGTTTAATCGTTCAAATTTATATTACATGAAATAAATAATAAACGTCTATATTTTAAAATTCATATTCAGCCTATATTTACTTAAAAATTATTTAGTTATATTCTTGTTTAAAATTAATAATTTATCTGTAAAATGCTTTTTACTGTATTATGCTAAAATGTGTTTACATATTTTCACATAAGTAAACTCTAATAAATTTCTCTACTGAAAAGAAATGATTGAAGTAATACACGGCAAAAGATGTTCGAAAAGTTCTTCATAGAACACAAAATCTGTGTAAACGAAAACAAAATTTACAAGTAAAATAATAAAATAATAAAAAGGCAGGCAATATCTTTAGAAAAAATTACGTATCCTAAAGCGATAAAAAGTGAATTTTTCATCGTGACACTAAGTGCCGTAGGAATGTTCTAAGTTATAATTAATATAGTAACTTGCAGCTACTCAATTAACCTTTTCTTTGAGAAAATTATATATGAAAACTTTTTTCAAATTGTAATTATATTGTTTCAAAAGTTAATGTTTGTTTGTTAAGGCAACGCAACACTTAGACGATCTGCCTAGGGGGAATGCCTTCCGGTTGGTCTTTTTAAGGGATACTTGTCCCTATTTAAACGTTACAGATGTAGAGGAAACCTGGAAAACTCCACCTGACCAGCCATTTAAGCGACGCGCGAACCCACGACCGAAATCCCAGTGTTCGGGGTACCAAGAACAGCTTGACCACTTGTGGGCTTCGAAAATTAAAACTAAAAAAAAAAAACATTTCTTCTTTTTTATTCATAACTCTATTTGAAAAAGTTAATTAATTGAAAGGTGTCTTCGTATAAATGCAAACAATTCAAATAAGAAAACATTTATTTGTATGTAATTATGTCTTTCGTTAATTATAATTCAACAAATCATTACATAATTGAAAACAATTATTTTAAATTAAATAAAATGTAATAATAGAAAACAATCGATTGTGTCTTTCATCTTAAAAGATATTCAGAATATTACTGTTCGATACATTAAATCCAAATTATCCAATTATTTTTGCCAATACATTTCTATTTAGAAGAAAGAATTCGGCTGAAAGAAGTGCGGTAGCATGGACTTTTACCATTAACATTTTATATAATGAAATGTCTTTTGATGAATTATAATTCACAATAGTCAGTGTATTTTAATTTAAAATTAAATTATTTCACAGATCATTACATTATTAAATCATTACATGTCTTTAGCGTAGAGTGACATACATCTGTATATCTACGTTCATATTAATGTGAAGTTTTATGAGTTTCTCGCTCAATTTTCGGATGCCGATCTTAAAATTAATTTATTACTCATCGAGGCGGGAAATGTCCTAATTTACTACAACACGCGAATCTTTGTTATATGACAAATGACCACAAAAGTAAAACTGATTATGGGATGTTTAAAGCAAATTACTTGTGAATTCTAATACATTTTAATGATTGCGACGTGTAAAATTAACAAATAATATTATCATTTAAACTACTTTTAATGACGCACAATTAACGCTTAATTCTCTTTTTTAAAAATTTTTTCATCAAATTATCACATTGTTCTAAAGTTTTGGAGCATGGATTTTACTTCGATAAAGTTATGTAAAGCTAGCTTCTAATGTCAAAAACGACATCTAATAGTTTTTTAATTTTTTTAATTAACAGATTTTATTATATATGTTACAGTCAAAACCCGTTTTTAGTTAGAACGCGTTTTAACTAGTTGAAACTAGTTTATACTGAATGTCTTTGTTAAAACCCGTTTTGTCTAGTTGAAACTAGTTTATACTGAATGTCTTTGTTAAAACCCGTTTTGTCTAGTTGAAACTAGTTTATACTGAATGTCTTTGTTAAAACCCGTTTTGTCTAGTTGAAACTAGTTTATACTGAATGTCTTTGTTAAAACCCGTTTTGTCTAGTTGAAACTAGTTTATACTGAATGTCTTTGTTAAAACCCGTTTTGTCTAGTTGAAACTAGTTTATACTGAATGTCTTTGTTAAAACCCGTTTTGTCTAGTTGAAACTAGTTTATACTGAATGTCTTTGTTAAAACCCGTTTTGTCTAGTTGAAACTAGTTTATACTGAATGTCTTTGTTAAAACCCGTTTTGTCTAGTTGAAACTAGTTTATACTGAATGTCTTTGTTAAAACCCGTTTTGTCTAGTTGAAACTAGTTTATACTGAATGTCTTTGTTAAAACCCGTTTTGTCTAGTTGAAACTAGTTTATACTGAATGTCTTTGTTAAAACCCGTTTTGTCTAGTTGAAACTAGTTTATACTGAATGTCTTTGTTAAAACCCGTTTTGTCTAGTTGAAACTAGTTTATACTGAATGTCTTTGTTAAAACCCGTTTTGTCTAGTTGAAACTAGTTTATACTGAATGTCTTTGTTAAAACCCGTTTTGTCTAGTTGAAACTAGTTTATACTGAATGTCTTTGTTAAAACCCGTTTTGTCTAGTTGAAACTAGTTTATACTGAATGTCTTTGTTAAAACCCGTTTTGTCTAGTTGAAACTAGTTTATACTGAATGTCTTTGTTAAAACCCGTTTTGTCTAGTTGAAACTAGTTTATACTGAATGTCTTTGTTAAAACCCGTTTTGTCTAGTTGAAACTAGTTTATACTGAATGTCTTTGTTAAAACCCGTTTTGTCTAGTTGAAACTAGTTTATACTGAATGTCTTTGTTAAAACCCGTTTTGTCTAGTTGAAACTAGTTTATACTGAATGTCTTTGTTAAAACCCGTTTTGTCTAGTTGAAACTAGTTTATACTGAATGTCTTTGTTAAAACCCGTTTTGTCTAGTTGAAACTAGTTTATACTGAATGTCTTTGTTAAAACCCGTTTTGTCTAGTTGAAACTAGTTTATACTGAATGTCTTTGTTAAAACCCGTTTTGTCTAGTTGAAACTAGTTTATACTGAATGTCTTTGTTAAAACCCGTTTTGTCTAGTTGAAACTAGTTTATACTGAATGTCTTTGTTAAAACCCGTTTTGTCTAGTTGAAACTAGTTTATACTGAATGTCTTTGTTAAAACCCGTTTTGTCTAGTTGAAACTAGTTTATACTGAATGTCTTTGTTAAAACCCGTTTTGTCTAGTTGAAACTAGTTTATACTGAATGTCTTTGTTAAAACCCGTTTTGTCTAGTTGAAACTAGTTTATACTGAATGTCTTTGTTAAAACCCGTTTTGTCTAGTTGAAACTAGTTTATACTGAATGTCTTTGTTAAAACCCGTTTTGTCTAGTTGAAACTAGTTTATACTGAATGTCTTTGTTAAAACCCGTTTTGTCTAGTTGAAACTAGTTTATACTGAATGTCTTTGTTAAAACCCGTTTTGTCTAGTTGAAACTAGTTTATACTGAATGTCTTTGTTAAAACCCGTTTTGTCTAGTTGAAACTAGTTTATACTGAATGTCTTTGTTAAAACCCGTTTTGTCTAGTTGAAACTAGTTTATACTGAATGTCTTTGTTAAAACCCGTTTTGTCTAGTTGAAACTAGTTTATACTGAATGTCTTTGTTAAAACCCGTTTTGTCTAGTTGAAACTAGTTTATACTGAATGTCTTTGTTAAAACCCGTTTTGTCTAGTTGAAACTAGTTTATACTGAATGTCTTTGTTAAAACCCGTTTTGTCTAGTTGAAACTAGTTTATACTGAATGTCTTTGTTAAAACCCGTTTTGTCTAGTTGAAACTAGTTTATACTGAATGTCTTTGTTAAAACCCGTTTTGTCTAGTTGAAACTAGTTTATACTGAATGTCTTTGTTAAAACCCGTTTTGTCTAGTTGAAACTAGTTTATACTGAATGTCTTTGTTAAAACCCGTTTTGTCTAGTTGAAACTAGTTTATACTGAATGTCTTTGTTAAAACCCGTTTTGTCTAGTTGAAACTAGTTTATACTGAATGTCTTTGTTAAAACCCGTTTTGTCTAGTTGAAACTAGTTTATACTGAATGTCTTTGTTAAAACCCGTTTTGTCTAGTTGAAACTAGTTTATACTGAATGTCTTTGTTAAAACCCGTTTTGTCTAGTTGAAACTAGTTTATACTGAATGTCTTTGTTAAAACCCGTTTTGTCTAGTTGAAACTAGTTTATACTGAATGTCTTTGTTAAAACCCGTTTTGTCTAGTTGAAACTAGTTTATACTGAATGTCTTTGTTAAAACCCGTTTTGTCTAGTTGAAACTAGTTTATACTGAATGTCTTTGTTAAAACCCGTTTTGTCTAGTTGAAACTAGTTTATACTGAATGTCTTTGTTAAAACCCGTTTTGTCTAGTTGAAACTAGTTTATACTGAATGTCTTTGTTAAAACCCGTTTTGTCTAGTTGAAACTAGTTTATACTGAATNACAAAAAACTATTTATGAGTCCGTTTATAAAAACGGCTTCTAAAAATTACTTTACACAAAAAACTATTTATGAGTCCGTTTATAAAAACGGCTTCTAAAAATTACTTTAAACAAAAAACTATTTATGAGTCCGTTTATAAAAACGACTTCTAAAAATATTTTGTAAAGAACGAAACTTCTTTTGAATCTGCTAAAGGCGCGGTTTTTATAAATTTTTTTCAAGAACAAAACTTTTTTTGGGTTTGCTAAAAGCGCAGATTTAAAAAATAAATTTAACAAACAAAAATTTCCATAATTTAACTTGAAGCCATTAATTAATTAAGCGTCACCGCTATCATTGATTTTAAAGGTTTTTTTTCTTATAATCAATGCTGTTGTAGTATTTCAGCAACTGCTCTTCTTTTCAAATTTCATTCCGCAATTCACCGGTAACACACGCAATGAAAAATCACAAATCCGTGAAAATTCTTAAACAGTATGGAATGAATACTTTAACTTAGATTGAATTTCAGAATAATTACAGGAAACGCTTCTTAAAATCAGATATTTTTAAAATATAGAGAAATAAAAAGAAGGAAAATGCAACAGCTTAGTTTCTTCTGTAAAAACGTTAAAAAAAGCGTTATTAAATCAATTTTAATTGAAAGACTTATTATTTAGAACTTACATGTTTCACCTTTGTTTACATTTTACGATTACTTAATTACAATCTATGACGCAAATAATAAAGTCATTTTATTGCAGAAAACACATAAATTAATTTAATAATATTGCTTGTCATTTCATCGAATTTTCTAAGAGAGTTTTCAGTGTTTTTTATGTGATGATATGAGTTTTTTCTTAAAATATATATTATAAAGCTGTCTTTATTGCAAAACTTTAAACTTTTTTTAGGAACTTAGTTTACACGCTTGTATAGACAGACACACATACGTTTAAATATATACAGAAACATAAAAGTCGGGAAACACAATAAACTGTCGTCTGAATTTCGGTAAACCAGAACAAATATTGGCATAGATCACAAATTAATACATGGAATTTGTGTAAAAGTGTAGACAAATCAAGCGTTTGTGGTGATTTTAGCAAAATTGTAAAACTCATAATTTGTAAACCGCTACTTTAAATTTTGCTTAACGCAGATTATATTTTAAGTACAGTGACAGTACGTCCTTTATTTAAGAGGACAGTCCTTTATTTCACTGCTCTGTCCTTTAACTTTATTTATTTTCTAAAATAGGCATTTTGTTCTTTATTTTGTAAAGTTGACGCTAAGTTTATGAAAAATTTTTTAATAATATATTGAACAAGTTAGTTTTGTATTCGCCATCACGGCTAATGTTGCATTGCTACATAGAGCGCATAGTAGAGTGCGTCGCCAACCAAACGGCCCACTGACAGTACCAGGAGGTGGACACTCTTATGGGGATTTTTGTGATAGTTTTTTAACTCTCTAGTTGGTGGATGATAAACTTGTTAATTAAAGCTGAAGTTAGTTGAAAGAAAAAATGAGGGGTTTCTTCCTGTTGTTATTAGAAAAGTGGTTTTAGTATTAGAAAAATCAGAAAATATACAAGCCGAAAAATTCAATGATGCTGTGTACACATTTTATCAAACGTGCATAGATTATCTAAATAATTGGGACATGTTTTTTATTAAAATAGAGGTGTTTGAATGGGTCACATTACGCAAAATCCTTTTGCGGGCGAAAGTAGAGGAAAACTATATTTTTATTTCGAATCATTGGTCCGTAAATATACTCGACGGGGAATTATTTGATGAAGTTCTATGTGTAAAAAAATATGTCACAAACGAAAAGATTGACGAATAGTGACAGAATAACCAACCCTGCCATCGAAGGTGGATTGAAATTTTTGAACATTTTACAGCAAAAGAAATTGTTTTCAAAACCATTTGTAAAATCGTAGAATTTTCTTTGTCTTCCTGGATCTAATGCCCCGTTGAACGAATATTTTCATTGGTGAATAATATGCGGACAAATGAAAAAACTGATTCTAAAGTAAGCACATTAGAAGCATGTATTTCCATCAAATACAACTTTAAAATGAACTGTATGGAATTTTATGACTTTAAAGCGTAAAACGGCGCTATAAAAAATTAACTCTACTGAAACGTATCAAAATTAATGTTATTTAAATTTTTACAATGTGTATATGTGTAATAATTCAGATTGTTTAAAATTTTAATGTATGCATTGTTGTATGCTACTATTTTCGTAATAAATGTTATAAACTTATGAATTTTATAAGGTATTTTTTGATTTTCTTCGATATGTCCTTTATTTTTCCCCAAAAAATATGGTCACTGTAATTATAAGTAAAGACAGAAATACAACGTTCGCGATTCACTTCGAACTCGATTTACTTACAGTCTGGATTGAATCTAGTTTTAAGAACTCGATGAGTCTATCGTGATTGAACATAGTTTTACTCGAGAGAAATCGCACTACGGCATATTCGCCGCGTTTAATCTGAATCAGGATTGAAATACTTCGTGCAAACGGGGTATAACAAACTAAGATGCGGCCTTATCATTAAATCAGTTAAGGTTATAATATACAGTTATCTTCATAATTAAGAGAGTAAAGCCAGTTAAAAGAGAAGGCTGTAATGTTTTGTTTTCGCATTAACTGTTTTTATTAACTCGTCTGGACTTTAGGAGTAACAGCAGCGTGTTCTATTGTCACAAGTACTTCATACACAATGAAAGTACAGTGATAGCGAAAAGAAGAAATTTTTGTAGATATAGACGTATAGATTTTTGTAGATTCAGACGTTGTTTCGAACCGACAAATGACGGAATGAATTGGTATTGACGATTATGGCATTAATTAAGTAAGAGTCATGTTATAATTAAAATTTACGTAATTTTTCACGTACTTTTTTCATTATGAAGCATTTATTTTTTTTCTTTTCCAGCATGAAAATATCGCCGATGGCAGTTTGTAAAAAATATAGACGAAGATATCCGAACACTTTGTAGTTTTCTGCAAAGAGTATAAATATATTGGTAAAGTAGGAAATGACAACTACAAAGATTAAGATTATTACATTATTTCGTATTTCCTACTCTTGTGTAATGATATATCATAGTATATGATTTATAATTAGAGAGGTTGTCTTATGTAAGGGTTTATCACACCGAGAAACAATCTGAGGCAGTCTTTAAATGGTGTGGAGTAGGATGAAATAAAGGATTTTTATAATGTGTTAAATTGGTCCCTCTGTATGTTAAATTGTTACATAAATATATAAATCAAATACTAAGATATAACGACCATATAAATAGTAATTATTTTAGTCTAACATCATTACGTTTATAGCGATACTCGGATGGTACGAAATGGCACAATTTCATAGGTAAAATTTCACCAATTCAAAATATGTTAAATTTTTAAGATATTTGTTATGACAAATCCTTTTATTTATTAAACGGAAATCTGCCGACCGATCAAATTAGGAGAAAAATACACAAAATATTTAAACTCGCACTGTAGAAAACCATTTAAAACATATTTTGTGCTGCCCGATAACCTGGTATTATGTAATGTTTTTCATCGAATGCCATCATTCCGCCGTAACTATCAATTTTCCAATAATGAAGTATTTCAATTAGTCTTTTCAATTAGTATTTAAATATTACTCAAAGTAATATTTAAATATTTTCAAATTTAAAATGTATAAAGTTATTTTAGACACGAAAATCTTGAAATACCAAAACATAATTCATAAAGTTCAGCTAGGAACGAGAATGAGCTTATAAGTGTAAACTAAGGAAAATTAGAAAATATTATCTTACTTCATCATCATCGTCATCTTTCACGGATTCGCTCTCCCACGTATATTTATCGTTATCAATTTTGGCTTCATCAAATTTTCTTATTACTTTCGAGACTAAAAAGTAATAATTTTATAATTTACATTTCAATCTGTTCGTAATTTAATATCGTAATGCTGCCATTAACTATAAATAAGTTTAGAAAAAAAGAAACAATTGTAACATTGTAAAATATTTATGTGAATTTTATGTTTATGTGAAAAATTTGTACGTATTCCAATATTCATTTATTCTCGCAAATTAAGCTGGAATGAAAAGTTTATAAATATATACCAATATAATATTTATAATATAAAAAATGACAAAGCAGTACACATGTATAAACAGTACGTTAAATAAAAGTAAATCGCTATGAATATAAATATAAGTTCAGATTTTTCCCATTCTGATTGAATCAAATATTAAACATATAATAAACGGAATAAGAGTAAAGTGCACAGTGTTTTTCTGTATGTGTTTCGCGGATAATTTTTTGTTTTAAAGTTATTTTCGATGTTTATGTTTTATTTTGTCATTATATACCGGATGTTATTCGTAATAAATTCTTTGCGTTTATATAAACGTAATTAAATTGACTTTTCGTTTGACTACGAGAAAAATTGAGAAGTTTTAGCAACAAAAATAATTATCTCAAGTACTTTTGACGAAATAAATGAAATCCTTTTAGAAATAAACATTTTGAAATTAATGCTAATTTTGAATTGTTTCGAATATAATAAACTACCATTTCCAACACACCTGACAAACTGTACATGGATGATTAATATTAATTAAGTTACTTAATTTAAACAGATTTTAACACAATGAATTTAACATTAAATAATTTTCTAATAATTTTTAAACAAATTATTTTATGAATCGAAAAATGTTTTTTATAATCTCTTTGTGACCTCACCTTCCTCCATCACTTCTCCTGTTTCAGTTAGTTCCAAGGAGTCTTCTTTTTCCATGCTTAATTTTTCAGCAAAATCCTGCGAAAAATGAAAAATTCTAATTAACGATATAATAATCTTACAGTACTCGAAATGTTTTTTTATTAACTCAAAAAATATTTATTTATATATAAATAAACAATTTGCATTTATTTTACATAACACATTTTATAAGAATGTGCATAGCTGTCGTGAGTTTTTCAGTTGTAAACTTTTAAATGATAAGAATTGTTTAATTATTTTCAATTATTTTTATCGAATTGTCACTTACAGAAGAAGACGACTTTGGTTCTTCTTTTCTTTTTCGTGCTGCAAGATCCATGATGATGTGTACTATCGTCTCGACAGAATCATCCAAGGTGACTTTTTTTTCGTCACACAAAACCTCTATCTTATCGCATTCTAAAGAATAAAAGAAAACTCAATAAACACAGAAATTCCTAACACTTTCTTCGCCTGAATTCAAAAATTATATAGAAATTTGAAAAAGAGAATCAAAGCAAATAACAAACACTTTACACCAAATATACATATGAAGTTGTTATTCTAGAAACATATTTTGAAACTTTATTCTATAGCAAATTAGGAATTTGAAAAAGGGAAAGAAAGCAAATAACAAACACTTTATACCAAATAAACATATGAAGTTGTTATTCTAGAAAGATATTTGGAAGCTTTATTCTATAGCAAATTTACAAAAATAAATATTAAAATTAAAAAAAGTTAATTAATTTCTGCTTAGAAATTTCTTAAATTAAACGTGATATAAAAGGATGAATGTTGCATTGTGATTTGGAATTATTAATTGTGTAGAATGTGTAAATTGTTTTAATTATAAAGTCAACTGAAAATGTAATATTAATGAATAGTTTTTCTCTNTAAATTAAACGTGATATAAAAACATAAATATTGCATTGTGATTTGGAATTATTAACTGTATAAAAGGTGTAAATTGTTTTAATTATAATGTCAACTGAAAATGTAATATTAATGAATAGTTTATCTCTTTCGAAGTAACTAAACGGATATTTATTAGCGTACACTCAGAAGCTTACTTTACCTTCATTCATACAATTTAATAAGAAGTTTGAGTAAAATAAGTTTAAAATAATTAATTTACAGATTAAGTTTAAAAATGTAAATAATCAAATATTCATTTATATCTTTATACTCGAGAAACAACGATAAAAAGTAAAGGGAAATAAATGGATAATTTTAACCAATTAAAAATAATTGTCACATTTGTTACTCTTTCCTTACAACATTTTTCTTATAAATGAGACTTGTTTGAATTTATCTAGCGGTGAACATCGATTTGTTTATTCAATAATATCGATAGATAATGTAATAGACCAGAACATTTTGTAAATATAAAATATAGCATTACTGGGTGAACAAATACTCAAATGTACTCAAAATCAAGTCGTAAGTATAGATTAAACACAAATACATTAGCCTTTAGATTAGCCTTTAAAGTAACCACAGATTTTAATTTTATTTTTGAACATCTTATTTTATTGTAAAACTGTTTTTGTAATTTTATTTGCTTCTTTTTATTCATCTTAATCGAACCGAATATTTAAATATTAGAAAAGATGAAAAAATAAAATAACAAAATTTTATTTATTCGAAGAAAATACGCTCAATGCTGTAATTATCTTCGACAGAAAATGAATGCAAAGTTAAATATCGTTTCATCGTATAACATTTTTATTCGGATTTTTAAATATCCCTTAGAAAATTACTATTAAATGGGTGTTTTTGTATTCATTGCCAAAAATTCATAAAATATTTAATATAATTATACATTAAAAGGAATTTAACTTACTCATAATATCCTTTTTTTTTTCAGAAAATTCGCTTTCGATAACTTAAGACAATCGAAAAAATATCTTCAACAATAGCTGAAAAGTATTCTTGAAATTTATTGTTTATGCAACAATAAAAACCGTGCTCACAGAATGATAATCGAAGCGCGTGCTAAGCATTACGCGTGTAAATTAGTTTTATTTTGGGTTTTTATTTTCGTGAGTAACTATAAAGAAAGACGTGTGCGATTATAAATGTTTCTTTGTTTGTTCGCTATATATTTGTTGACCGTTCTCTATACTTTCAAATCCTTCTAATGTACGTCATGTCGTATATTGCTCCTCGAAATTTCGAATGAATTTTTATAAATCAATTATTTTTTTACATTTCGTTTCGTTTGTTTAGTTATTGCAACGCAGTACTTGAACCATCTGTCTAGAGCAGGCATGGCCAACATACGTCCCACGTGCCAAATCCGGCCCGTTTAATGAATTTATATAGTCCTCGATTAATCTTTCAATATTAGCTAGTGAAGTCCGAATAGCTAGATGAAAAATTCTGAGGCTAAAAAAAAAGGTCACCAACTCACTGTGCGTTTAGAGTTAACCCTCCATTAAAAATCTAGTAATTATAGCGTAGAATGTTGATAAAGCATGATAATGTGAAAAATGTAACTGTAATCTTTATCTACGGCATTACTCCACAATGAGATCTTATATTTTCCTAGGGCAGCCTATCGGGACATTCCAATTTTCAACGCGAGTGTTGAGTGTTAAAGTCAACAGTCTGACGTCATCAACGACGTTCCAACTCGAGTATGAAGTGCTTAGTTCCCATAATTCCATTCTCAGAAAGATGGAGGGCAAGTGTATTATTTCTTCTGCTGTTACAGTATTTTGCAATATTTTTAATGACAACGCGATGATTTCATACAAAAGAAAAATAAAACACGACGACGACGAACTGCTACGTGTAAATGTAGCAGCTATGGAAGAAACCATAAAGAGAAAGAAGGCCAAAATAATAGGATAAGTAGAAGAGATAGTTCCTATGTATTCCATGGAAGATTTTAAATCTCACTTTCGTTTGAGTCGTTCAACAATTGAGGTATGTTAAAGAGAGTGGAGTGAGGCGAGTGGGATGTTCGATTTCATGGAAAAACTTGAGTTGGGTGAAACTTTTCATTCGTCCTTTGTCTCTTATCTAATTTGATTTCTAAATTTTCTTGTTTAAAATTGTTACACCGTTTTATTTAAAAATTTCTTCAATAGGAAGTATTACAATTGTTGAGCTATCTCTGTTTGAATCGTGGATTGCCTATAGAAATTGAAAATAAGAATAATTCCAGGTATTTATCCTACACACGCGTTTGGAAACTTTATTATCCCAGTATTATTCAACTTGCTAATGGCAGAAGATAAGGAAGGTGACTTTTGTGTCTAGTAGAGCATTTCATAGCTAAAACGAGTGGAGTAGAGGTGGAGCATATCCACGTTTCATGTCAATCTATTCTTGTAAAAATTTGGAAGCGATTCGTGTCTATATGTCTGGAACAAAGGTCTTTAACCCTTTGACCATTTTTGATTTATAATGAGTATTCACAGCGTTGCGGTGGAGCTCTTCGAATCGATACTTTACGTAAATATATAAAAAATCGTGACGTTTGGTAAACAGCCAATTCGTAATGTTGTAATAGCAGATATGATTATCTATATATGATCTAGCATATATGATAAGACTATGATAGAATATGATGTTTGAAAATATGCAAATGCTTTCAAGTATGCAATATACGTATATAATTCTAAGATTTGATAAGTATCAAAGTATTCACTAGGTGTAATTAAAGGAATTTTTGCAAAAATTCTAAATTCTCGTGGCAGAGCTACAACAATGGTTGTAATTGATTGGCAGTATTTAAAAAGAATATCTGCTTTGACAGGTTCGATCAATGAATATCCTTTCGGAAGTTGAAGTTGTTTCTTCCCGAGTGTGTGTAACATTACTTCTCGTGATACAAAATAAGTGTTCTGTCTTCCTTGTTCTAAAACGTCGAGCCCCTCTCGAATTTCTAACAATTGCATGAGAAATTCATATGTTACCGCTAAAGCTCGAAATCCGTTAATGTGTACATTACCTAGCTAATCTGCAGATTAACTAGGGTGATCCGTTAAAGCTCGAAAAATTATTCCATTTCTCAAATTACCTAGGTAATCTGCGAATTACCTACTAGGCACTCGGTAAAGTGAAAATAAGATCTTTGCTGGAACAACAGCAACGTTTCTGTACGCTTAAATTAACATAATGTTATTTATTTAATTTTCAATATCTAAAGAATCAAGTTAATACAATCAACAAATTAGTTGATTGAATCAATCATCAATCAATTAAAAAAACTTTAATACAAAAATCAAACGGTTTAAAATATTACTACAATTAGGGAAATGAATTTGCAAAACATATGATAAAATTGTACTTACTTATTAGTGCAATCTAAAGATTGGTGACACTTTGAATTACGTAGCAATTGGTTTTTGCGACAAGCACGCCTATTTGTGGTACATTTAGATTTGCAGTCACATTTTCTGAAACCCTGCCCAGTACCAAGGGATTGTTTTATTGCTGTTTGACGTAAAGATATTTCTACAGCAGGGACATCCATCTTCTTTCGTTAAAAATCTCTCTTTGCAAACACTGAATTCAGATTTTGCATACAATTGTTTTAAAATACCTGTTTTAGTATCAAGTTTATAAAAGCCATCCTCTGTTTTACTAAGAACCACAGCTAAAATTGAACGTGCATCAGTTTTTGCTCTGTCTTCTTCGGGTACTTTAATTCTCACAGCGAAACCTTCATCGACGTTTGGGTGCTTTGCATTAGAAACTGCTAACATTTTCTTTGCTTGCTTTTCTAAACATTTCTTGGCTTCATCACGCTGTATTTTCTGATCCATATTCTTTTTACAGATGATGCACAATACATTCTTACCATACCCTTCCTCTTTAGGATCTACTTCACCACAAACTGCGTGAACAAACATATTACACGATTTACACTTGTGAGCACTTGATGCTGCTTTTGAGCAAACAATACAGACTATGTCTTGTATAGTGCTCTTTTCAGGCTCTGTACGAAACTGTGATGGCGATTCTGCTGAGGTTGAGAGTAACTCAGTGATGACTTCTTCAACTTGCAGAGGTAATTCCTTGGAGGTGCAGGGTAACTGAATATTTTTCGTGACTGCATCATCAATCAACGGTATAGAAGGCAGTTTAAAATTACTATCGATAAATTCTTGTATTTCTATAGGTGATTCTGTAGAAGCAGAGGATAACGGAATGTCCTCTTGAGTAAGATTTTTCACTGTGATCTCATAATCACAGTCTCTTGTGAATCTTCTAATTTTTCTACTTTTCCAGTCTCCTATTATACCACAAAGTGTATTACATTCGATAAAAACTGAAAAAGACCTTGAAAAATTAATTATTCTTAATTCGATTATCACTATTCATATTAACAGTTGAAATTAATAAATATAATAAAAAATGTTTTCAAGACGTACAGTTTTAAGTTTGAAGAAGC